ATATTTCGTAAATTTTATCTTAACCGGAACAGGAAATGTCTTTTCACATCTAGCGTCTGTTTCCATCTCATTCTAGCTACTAAATTCATGGTACACAGAATTACTGGGTGTTTGCACTTTGTCCATCATTCCGTATTCTATAAACCAAACTGAGTAGGTGTCTTCCCCCTTCCCCTTGAGGATGGAAACAGATCTAGTTTCTGAAACGTTGTGCTTTCTAGTTTCTAGAATACAGGATGATGAAAAGAGCGCCAAAACCCAATAGTTCTGAGTGTTGTACACTCGGTCGGTATAATTCGCTTGCGGACTACAGGCCACGTAGTTACGTTATACAAAATCGTCAGCACCCTTTAGAATGTACTTAAATTCCTGGTGTTTTACGTCGATGGTCTTTTCTGTTTCCAACTTGCGGCGCCTAATAATGTAGCGGCTGAGACGTTAACTTCGGTACAGGTCGCTGCAATCCGTCAGAACTATGGAGGTGAGTCCGTGTAACAGATATCAGATTCTTATATGCGGCCATAACGAGACATAACAAATGATTTCTCCTACATAGACGCATTTGTTCAGTGAACCTGATCATCACGTCTCTAACTATATAACGGTATTAATTATGCCCTAAATAAGCAGGTTTAAGCGTGGTATAGCCTATTTAGATTATTCATTTATGGTGTGAGACAGATCCTGAGGATGGAGGCCTCATATTCCTCTGAAACATCGGTAAACATCTATTAGCGTACATGGTTGTACACTCTAATCTTCATAGTCACCACAATAAGAACTTCAAATCTCAGGTAATTTTGAAGTTAATGATATTTCGATAGACCTGTCTCCTTGTCTTTCTGGATTACTAACCCGGTAATATAATGTTTATAATAATTGCTGTGAACGTAATTTTGTCGGGGAATGTACGCTTGTAATGTCGAGAGAAGGATTTCAGGGCATCAGAAGTATAGGTGGAACTGGTTCAGGATCGTGTCCAGTGGCGGGATTTCTTATTATCGGTGTTAAGCCTCAGGATTCTGCAAACATTGTACGGGGTTACGGAATATTGGAAACAATGAAGTTGACGGACGCCGGTCACGGTAGCCGCGCGGTCTAAGGCATGAATTGTCTTCGCTCTCTCGAAATCTGGGATGGTGTGCTTGAATCCCAATCAAGGCATGGATGATTGGTGTGTGTATGCATTTATTCTGTTTTCTTTTTGTCCTATGTTTAGGTAGAGGCCTTGTGACGAGCTGATCAGTCGTCCAAGGAATCCTGCCGTCTGTGCAACATTGATTACGAAATTGAAGAAGAGGCCAGGACACAACAATGGGCTGTAGTGCCATCAATGAATGAATGAAGTAGATGGGCGGAGGGATATTAATGTCCGATCAGTGGTAAATGTTGGCTCACAGTTAGGCTTACGATACGACACGGCGTTAGCAACAGGAATGCAGTCGTTTGTGGCGTCCTCTGTGTGAAACTATTAACACAATTTGTGTCGCAGATAACTTAGATGATACAGATTCAGGCATATCATAAGCTCATGAGGAGGTCTGATGTCTACTGTGGTGGATAGATCTTCCTCCAAATTTGGGATATGTCTTCTGCTATGAAGATGGAAGCAGAAAGCTCCTATATGAATATTGGTAACCGCTAACAAAAGCCGGTGTAGTCACCACGAAAACCACAAAGTAAGCTTTCAGCAGAGCGAAAAATACAAAGTTCTCATTGTACGGACATTTCTGCGAAAATAATAAATTGTTGGTATATTTTAAGTTACTTTATGCTAATTCACAATTATATAGAATTTGATAGAATCAATAAGATGTACTGAACTTAAACAGTGTGTATAAATTACTTGAATCATTTATTCTTTTCTCTCTTCTTAGATATTTGGAACACTTTTTTTATCTAGGGACTTTAGTCGGCTTCATATCCTTGTATATTACGCTGATTATGGTCGCGTGCACTCAGCTGCAGAAGCTCAGAACGAACCTCTTGGACACAAAGCAAGAAATGGTTCCATCAGGAGATGAGTCTGGCAGTGACGGGGGAGAGGAGCCAGGTTCCCAGTTCTGCCGCATGCAGACACAACTGAACGAGTGCGTTCGGCACCATCAAGCCATACTGCAGTACGTCATTACTTTCACAGTACACGTGAGTTCATTACAGGAAGTCACTTACGGGTAATGTCAATTCTGTGAATTATATTTTTTTACCATTTCAGCTACATGCACGCATTAGAAGATGCAATGAACTTGACGTTGTGTGGTGCGTTCCTAATACTGCTTGCTGCACTCTGCTTTGTTTCCTTCTCTGCAGTCATGGTAAAGTATGCACTGACCCATCAAGTACAACATTTTTCTTCTGGTCTGGACATGCTTTATGCATGAATCCAAATTAGTGAACTATTTGCAATTTTAATTCAGAATGAATATAAAGGACGAAGAGTGTTGTCTTCTGGGATATAAGGGCGGTGGTCTGGTAGATGTTCACCGACGTTTCGGAAGGATATACTGCATCCATGATAAGGGTCGAACAATAAACAAAGCAAGGAGACAAGAGGACAGCCACTCTTTGCTTCTTTACCGCTCTTCAGATTATTCTTACACCCTGAAGATGGAGGCGACATGACTACACGGTGCTACGTGCCGGACGATAGAATTTCTCCAATGTCCATTTAGTTTTTGTACCACAATAAGGCGAACGGGTAAATTATCGAGAGGATAGCCGAGAAATATGGTTGCAGAACCATCTTATAGGCTACACGCAATGCAGGAAAATGGAATGGATGAAAGTCTTCACTTTTATGAATGCACACATAATTATGTAGGCACACACACAAAATATGAGTTATGTGTTGTATTAATTAGTCTTCTGCATATATAAATATCTACGCAAGGCGAAGACGTAGGTGGGCGGATAATATTAAAATGGACGTTAGAGAGATAGGATGGGAGGGTATGGATTGGCTTGATCTGCTTCAGGATAGGGGCCAGTGGAGGACTCTTATGAACACGGTAATGAACGTTCGGGTTCCATAAAATGCTGGGAAGTTCTTGAGTAGCTGCACAATTGGCGGCTTCTCAAGAAGGGCTCAGTTCCATGATGTTAGTTAGCTGACTTTATCCATAGTGATCTTGAACTATATCCTCATGAGCTTGTTCTTCCAATATGTATGTCAGGGAACAAGAACTAACAAATTTTGCTCACATTTGGAAGCAAGTTGTGAGAATTTTATATGTCACATTAAAATTACTTCCAACGGTTCTACGTCCCTCACACAATACTTGTGGTACCCAAGAGAAATTAAATTTGGACAAAAAAAAATTAGCTTTGGGGACAAGAAGATTTTGGTACAGTCTGTCCAAAATATGAAATACGCTGAAGGAGGGGAGATGTTTTTGAACTTCGGAATGTTCCGCATTTGCTTTCTCCAAGTCACTGTTGTCTGCCACACATTTGGATTTACGGTGATTAATGCAGATCTTGAGCCTTTTCCACGGTTTCTATGTGCCTGATTATATCAGTTAGTATTCAATTAATTTTCTGTGTAAAATAATAAAGTAAAGTAAAAGTGAAGCTATCCCTGTAACAGGCCATGAAGGCCCATAGGATTGTGAGACGTTGAGGCTCCCACATTATCTAAACAGTCGGCTCAAAGATGGCGGTAAGGTTGTCAGCCTTACGCGCCGGCCGCGCTTTACTTCCCAGGAAAATTATTTGATTAATTCCTGGTATTCATTTCTGTTAGAGGCCGAGTCAACCCCAGGGCCATAGTGCGGCTGGAAGGATTAGGTCAATTGAAAACAAATCCAATGACCTCATTGGGACTTGAACCCGCGACCTTCCGGCTTTCAACCAACTACGCTACCGCGTACCCCCATGTAAAATAATAATGATTTAGTAAATGCAACTTGAAAATTATTAAGAAAAAATTCCATAAGCATAAATTACGTAGATATATTTGAGTAAATATTTCTGTTTATTTAGGCATGGGGAGATGCAACGGACGCTATACATGTGTTCTACTTATACGTCACTATGATCGGGTATCTTGGCATGTTCTGCCTGCTCGGGACTGAACTTACACAACAGGTATGTGTGTGCACAAGTCTGTTGAATCACTATAACCGTTTGGTATTCAACCTGAACCGTAAGTTATATGTTGACTGTTTCAGGCTGAAAGCGTGAGAGACGCTGCTTGGGGGTACGACTGGGTGGGAACTCCTGTCCCATTTCAGCGCTGTTTGGCCTTCATCATCGCCACAGCCAACAAGGAGTTCACACTCACAGCCGGGAAATTTGTTCCGGTGTCCAACTCCACCATGATGAATGTAAGGATATACAGAAAAGTGGAATGATCCAAATTAAGTCACGCAAATAATATTGTCACGGTTTTCGTGACTATAGACAGGGTTTCGAATTTGTAATCTGATTTATTGAACTTTATGATACACAACTCGTGACTGCACTTTACAGTTCACTGTTACACACACACACACACACACACACACAGTAGTGTCCACAGTCACGTCTTCACTGCCGTTTCTTGGTAGCGGCTTCTATCGGCGGACGTTCCACTTCCCTTTGCTTTCCTAACTGTCGCTGGCCTCAACTACCAGCTTCTCACAGCAACAGCTCACAACGACTGAACTGCAGCAGTCCTCTTAACTAACTTAGTCAGTCACTCAGGAACTAACTCAACTCACTAACTTGTCATGCTTATATCATCTCGGGATGGACCCCGAAGAAAACACCGTTCCTCTTTTGCAATACAATTGTTGCGTTCATGTGTTAGAATGGCCGCGTGATCTCTACTGATCCTAGTCTCTCTAGCAACGGCTGTTGTTTGCAGGGCCATTACTTAGCAATGGCTGTTCTGTAGTCGCTTATTTCGCCGTCGTTGCCTAACAGTGGTTCTACATTCCACATTACGTGTCTGCGGAGGCTATCAGGAGATAAATTCGAATGCGTAATCTCTGGAGATAGCTGTTTCGTTACTGTATAAGGCTTACAGCTTTCGGTGATTGAATTCATTATCATGAACATACCTTCGATTTTTACTCCACGATAAGCACAGGAGAATATCCAGTGAGGTAAAATAGGTAAAGTTGTCCCTGTGCTAAATTAATTAAGCACTACACCATGAAGACGTATGGGGGAGTGGATGTGTAGATCCACGTTTTCTTGCTCTCGGCACTAGCTGGAGGTGAGTGGTCAGCTTCACTCCCCGGCCGCTTTACCCCCGGGGAATTAGTGCCCGGTACACATTAGGTAGGAAATTGGGTGGGCCCCAGAGCCGGTCTGGATGCTGTGGAGAAGAGAAAATTCTTTCCTCTGCTGGAACTCGAACTCCGACCCCTCGGTCGTCCACTCCGTATCCAGTCACTATACCGACGTTTATAAAACGCAATTACAAAATATTTCTTCACATAATTCCACGAAGTGTATAGTAAGTTCAGGCCAGTTTTTATTGCTCTTCGCATAACAAGATGGGACGCATGATTCAGGGCCTGTATTTGAGCGCAGAGAGTCGAACTCTGTATATTGATGTTATTGGTCTACTTAATTTTGTTTTTCCTTAACAACTTCCCCTTTGCAGTTCATAGAATGCAGTGAGCATGACATCACATCATGGGATTGAGGTATCTCGCAGTCCGTCAGAATTTAAATTTAATCTCAAATTTTCTGCGCGCAATAAAAGCCAGTAACTTGAATATAAAACCAAAGAACGTCAAAAAGCGTGTTATTAAGAGCTTGTACCAGAAATTTAAGTTACTTCGTTCTGGATTTGGATAAAGTAAAGTCACTATGCCATGAAGTTATTGTGAATAACATTTATTAAAATGTAATATTTTTGTTTGTCACCAGATGGTGAACCAGTCGATATCCCTCTTCATGTTCCTTCTGACCATGAAAGATAAGAATGAGGAAACTATCATCAAATAACTCGCTGAGTAGTAGAAGGGAAAGTTTTTATATAATGCTTACCTAAAAAAATAAATACTTTTAATATTTTCTGTTGTGTTGTGTGTTACTACTTGCTAACAAATTCCGACGCTGGCATAACATATAATATTGACCGAATACCAAAGAAATCCACGCTGAACGTCGCTGATTATTATCGCAGCATCTTATTGCACTGTGTGTTCCAATTCTAGGATTCTCACCACAACAAGAGCTTAAAAGTGTGAACTCAATACACGGACGGCCTTGCACAGAGACGGTGAAGTGGAAATCCCAAAATTGGGTCACAGGTTACGGGGAAAGTTAAAAAAAAGAGAGAAGGTAAATGTATCCCTGTAACAGGCCATGGAAGCCTATAGGGTTGTGAGACGTCGACAATTCTAGACAATCGGCTCACAGATGGCGGTGAGGTTGTCAGCCTTACACACCCGCCGTCCTTTACCCCCAGGAAGTTTCCTGGTACTCATTTCTGTTACAGGCTGAGTCTACCCCAGGACCACAGTGCGGCTGGAAAGATTAAGTCAATTGAAAAATCCAGTGACCTCATCGGGAATCGAACCCCCGACTTTCATGTTTTTAGTATAATGTTTCAACCAAGTACGCTACTGCGTGCCCCCCATTGTGTATTTTGGGAGTCAGAATGTAGAACATTCTACGGCAGAAAATAAATACATAATTTTATTATGAATATCGGAAGGGTTAGACAGAGAAGAGCATCAATTAGATTCGTTCCCCCATTCTACAGTTGCAATAATTTCGAACCTCCTTTATTAAGTACTAGCTGTGCTCGGCCATGCCTTGCTGTGGCTCAGTCTGCCCGTTCTTCCCCAGTTTGATTTGAAATTACTCGACGCATTGCTTTCGCTCCGCGAGTACGACGACCTAAGTTTGATCTTCTGCGAGGCATTATTTGGATGAACTAAAGCAGATCGATTGCACCGAAGAAGAAGAAAGAAAGTTATTGTACATATATAGATATTTATACAATGTCTTATCTTAAACACATAAATAATTGCAAAACATTAAAAAAGGAAAGAACACGAACTGGAAAACAAAGAAGAAACAAAAAAAATAAAAAATACTGACGAAATATTTCAATTCAAACGCAGATCAATCGACACAGCCCAAACCCATTGCCAGTTGCACCGGAAAATAAGGGAAACAGTAAAGAAAACGAAATGAAGAACAATGAAAAATAAACTATACTCACGAAATGAACGCTATGGTAAACGACACAGCCCAATTCCAACGCAATGT